GACAGGAGGATGATTTTGTCTGCAACAAAAGTACAGCTTAGGTTAAGAAATGGAAACCCTTTTAACGACAGTTATTACCATAGAACTTGGGCGATATTCCCGGAAAAAGTTCCTTGGTGATTGGATAGCTGACCATCAGCTCAAAGAGCGAGGAGGCGTTCGTTTTTGCGTTCTTCTTGAAGATGGCCACCAGGTAGCCATCGGCACCAGAGTGCGAAGCAAAGTTGAGCACAAACACCTCGGAGAGGCTGGCCTTGTCGCAAATGCTGAGGTCGTTGTTGACGGAGGCATTGCTGGGAATGTCGAAGCCGGTGGCCACCGTTCGGTTGTCCACCGTCACGTAGGTGACGTCAATCTGGGCGGCAAAGCGGATCATCATGCAGTTGGTGCCATTGCTGTCGTACACTACGTTCCACCACTTGGCTGGGGGACTCGGATTGGGCGGCAGGGTGGGCGTAGGAGCAAAGGTGGTAGTGGTAGTTTTCGAAGTGGTCGTTGGGTGGTGAGTGGTGGTGGTAGTGTGGTGAGATGATGAGCTGCTCGTACTCGAATTCGACGTGGTCGGCTTCATCGTAGTTGAACCCATCGTCGGCTTTTGGCTCGTCGACGAAGAGGCCGTCGTCTGCGGCCAAATGGGAAACTCCGATCCTCCCGTCTGTTCGGTGGTAGGATTGTCATTGTGATTTGTCACCACGTTAGGGGTTACAGTAGTGCTTGAGACGGTAGTCCTTGGAGCTCTGGTGGTCGTGGTGGTAGTGGTGGTGATGGTCGTTGTCGTCTTCGTAGTTGTCGTCCTCGTCGTTGTTGTTGTTGTTGTTGTTGGTTTTGCTGTTGTTGTAGTCGTTGGTTTTGCTGTTGTTGTTGGTGGTTTGGCGGTTGTCTTTTCTGTTGTCAAGTGTGTGACCGTCTGAGGGCTTTCACTGGTAGTTTGCCGGTGTGTCGTGGTGACGGTCGTCGAAGCAGCAGTGGCCGTCGTCCTGGCCGGAGTTTCCGTCGTCGCCTTAGAAGTGGTCACGAGTGGTGCCTCAGTGAGATGAGTAGTTGGTGGTGGTGGTGTACCGTCACTGGTCACCCTGGTAACCGTCGTCCCTTCAGTAGTTGAGCTGTTGGTTCTATTTTGATCACCAGGTTCGTTGATTGTCTTGGCAATCGTCAGAGTTCCTGTGATTAGTAATGCAGTCTAATTAGTCACATTTCTAATTCCTCCCCAAATGTCTTACCTGCAAGCAGAATGCACAGAAGTGCACTGAAAAGTGCAGCATCAGCCTTCATCTTTGCTGGCTGGCTGGATCGTCAACTCAGACAGTTAGTTAGTTCAGAAGTGTCAAACGCTCTACAAAAGTGCAAACAATGATGCAGCGGCTGCACTGCAGTCTCCACAGTGAATGATCGTTATCATCACCTTTTGATCACTGACAACACGAGCGGCAACAACTCTACCGCCGCCGCCGTATACACTCACAGTTCAGTAACTCCCCACGGTAGACAACTGGCAAACCTGATCGTTACGCGTTGGGCACCAGCGGAANGCAGTCTCCACAGTGAATGATCGTTATCATCACCTTTTGATCACTGACAACACGAGCGGCAACAACTCTACCGCCGCCGCCGTATACACTCACAGTTCAGTAACTCCCCACGGTAGACAACTGGCAAACCTGATCGTTACGCGTTGGGCACCAGCGGAATGCGCATCAGTCGCAATACTGCTGGTGGATCATTTGCTGGCACGATCTGATGGTGCTCTATTGTGAGAGTGAATGAGAGAGAAAATGAGAGGGGAGAAAGGACAAGGACGATTACCCCGTTGTTGCCGGAGCACACATCAGCCTGGTTGACATTTGCACAATCTCTAGTTTGCCATCAAATCAGCTTTCAGTGCGATAACACTCACAGTGCGCACTATCTGCCACTGAACTGAACACTGTTGAAAGGTGTGATAAGTGTGACCACGGCGTTATCAGTGAAAGAAAAGTCAACAAAAAATAGTCAGATGAGCAGAAGCTTTTTCAGTGCAGCAGCAGCAGACTCTGACTAGAAACTGGAAACAACAGCGCACAGCGCAAGCCCACAAAATACCGCTACCAGTTGGATAAATAAATAATGATCACATTTANCTGTTGAAAGGTGTGATAAGTATGACCACGGCGTTATCAGTGAAAGAAAAATCAACAAAAAATAGTCAGATGAGCAGAAGCTTTTTCAGTGCAGCAGTAACTCTGACTGGAAACAACAGCGCACAGCGCAAGCCCACAAAATACCGCTACCAGTTGGATAAATAAATAATGATCACATTTGATTTCAAACACTTCAATTCTTTTGGCGGCAGCAGCAGAAANATGATCACATTTAATCTCAAACACTTCAATTCTTTTGGCGGCAGCAACAGCAGAAAAAGAAGAAAGTGCTGCAAATGATGCGCTGAAATTCTGAATGCACACACTCACACACTCAGTTNAATTTCAAACACTTCAATTCTTTTGGCGGCAGCAGCAGAAAAAGAAGAAAGTGCTGCAAATGATGCGCTGAAATGCTGAATGCCCACAGTCACACACTCATTTCGGTAAAAGTTAAGTAAGNGCCCACAAAATACCGCTACCAGTTGGATAAATAAATAATGATCACATTTAATCTCAAACACTTCAATTCTTTTGGCGGCAGCAGCAGAAAAAGCAGAAAGTGCTGCAAATGATGCGCTGAATTGCTGAATGCACACTCACACACTCATTTCGGTAAAAGTTAAGTAAAGATTAAAAGTTAAATGTCGACTAGTTCTGCGTACTTGGTGCCGTCAATGGCGATGACCACCTGCGAGTAGCCAGTGTCGAGCAGTTGCAGCAGCTGACCGCTTGCCTCTTCGTAATTCGGATTCGCCAGACTGCTGCCCGACTCTTCAAGGAGGCTGTTGCTGTCCTGACAGTGGTACTTGACCACAGAGTTTGGCAGTTGATTGCTGGGGTCAGTCGAAATCAGGTCAGAAGAGGACTCGTCCCCCTCTTCTCCGTTGATCAGTGGAGACTTCTCGTCGATGGCCACGGTCGAAGAGCCATCCGCCTGTTCATCCTCCTGCTGTGACACCCCCTGCTCACCCTGAGCAGTGGTAAAGTGGCGACTCTTCTGGTGAAAGAGGATGTGAAGAAAGTTGACCAGTGTCGGGTAGTATTGAGCGCACTTCCAGGTAAAATTGTGATTGCCTTCCTGAAACTTGTGCAGTTCCTTGTAAGTGGCTAGAGAACTCTGCGGTGTGGAAAACAAAGTTACTCAACGGTAAACAAACAACTGTACCTAAACCAACTCACATTGAACAGCTTTTGCATCATCTCGGAGGGAATCAGCTCATCGGCCAGGCCGGAGATGAACAAGGTGGGCAGTGAAATGGTGGATATCGCCCGAAGTGACTGGTACTGGTTCTTGTAGAAACAGTTCGGTATAAGGCGAAAAAAGCGTGCGAAACATGACTGACTGCGTCCGGAGCAGAGCAGGTGACGGGAGATCTCCGGTATGCTGGTGAAGGTGTTCTCCACAATCAGCGCCGCTGGTTTGTAGTTTGACTGCAACTTCGAGCTGGTCATCAGCAGGTGGGCGACGCCGATCACCACCGCTCCGCCCAGAGACCGACCAAAGAGGACAATCTTCGAGGAGCAAATGTCATTGCGACCGTGGAGAAACTTCAGCGCTGCGTAGGCATCCCGCAGCAGACCTGACTCTGAGGGAGTGCCCTTGGAGAGGCCGAAGCCTCGGTACTCCACGAGGAGGACGTTGCACTTCAGTCGATTGACAAAGTCAATTGCATTAGGCAGGCGATGGCCAATATTGCCGGCGTTGCCGTGAAAGTAGACTAGCGTGGGCGAGGTAAGGCTCTCCTCGTGTGATGGCCTCTTCAGGAGGATTGTGTGAATGATGACATTGTCCTCCGTTGTGATGTAGTGCGTCTCAAAGTGTCGGAAGCCGTAGCTCTTCGGCGTCAGCACCTTACTTCGAGAGTCCTTTGGACAGTCCGGATTGTACAGCAGCTGGTCGCAAAGCTGATAGACGCTGTCTGTTGAGTGCAGAAACCAGGAGTTGATATAAACAGGATAAAAACTGAGGAACAACAAACTTACAGAGAAAGTAGGAAACCACAATGAGGACCGTTAGGAGAACGCCGATGATGTAGGAGATGAGGGAAAAGACGCACAGAAAGACCAGAATGGGCTTCCAGTTCCGCCTGACCACACAACTGAACAGGCGACAGTATCTCCACAGTTGTGTGCAGTACGATTGGATTCTTTCTAGGAAAACCATGGCCATTTGTTTACAAACGACTGATGGTACTGCTGGTGCTGATCTTGACACACAAAAAAAGTTCACCCAAAGTTGTTGATCATCTTCAGGCAGTAATGGCAGTCAGTAATAATGGCCACATGGTGACTGGCAAAGTGGAGATCAAGCAAGACTAGAAAAGTGAGATGGTGGTGGTGGTGGTGGTGGTGGTGGTGAAAGTGCAAAATGAGAAACGTCAATGAACCAACAAACACTGTGCAAATGTGAAAACACAGTGCAATGTGCAGTCAGGCATTTGTTGTTTTTGCTCCACACTCTGAGAAGCTGCAGAGAAGCATGCGCACGCCGTGCGGTACTAAAGAAAATCGCCCGCGCGTTTCCATTGACAACTTTGGTCCACCACCATCTCTGAATACTAATCACTATCGCTTCCAATTGCATTTATTTGATGGCTGAAGTATGGGTGTCATCTCTCTTATGACGTCCAAGCAGTGATGGATGGCAATTATAAATGTTGTATGTACACACAGGGGAATGGAAAAACTTTCCGAGTAAGGTGATAGGTCCTAGTGAGAAAGCAAGTGCAAGAGTGTCCCCTTTCAGGCTTCAATTTCGCCCATGTACAGCTGTCGGTCGCTGGAGCAGGACAAGACTGAAAGAGAATATGGTGTGAAATTAGAGAGATTTCTGCTTTTTAAAAAAACCATTAATTTCCTACCGATAGGCTCCTTGGGATGAAAGACAACCTCATTAACTGAACCAGTGTGGCCGGGCAGTTTGTAGAGGATGCGCTTGTTGTAGACGTCCCAAATGTTGACAAAGCGGTCGGCGCTGCCTGCTGTGACGCGACGGCTGTCCGGTGACCAGGAGCATCGAAGGAGGTTCTTCTCAAAGTTGTGCTGGTGACCGGTCAGTGTTTTGAGGTTCCGGTTTGTCTGCACAAACGGTCTAATGTCCCAAATGCATACTGAAACAAGCAAATATTGAATTAACTAACTTGCTCATCTCCTCTATAGTTGACCACTTACAAGAGTTGTCCATTGAGTTGGAGAGCACTAAATTTCCGTCCGGAGACAGTGCAAGGCCGGTTATAGTGTCAAAGTGGCCTGCCATCGTGTACAGCAGCTTGTTCTTTCGCATATCGTACACCTTCAGAACGTTCTCAATTCCACCGACAATCACCTGATCGGCAGCATCGTTGAAGGTAATAGCAGTTAGTTGGTAGTCGTCTTTGAACGTTGAAACCACGCCTCTCTTTCTAGTGTCCCAAATTCTGACCGTCTTATCGTCAGAAGCGCTGCAAAGTAGCGCCTTATTTGCGTCTCGAGAAGTAGAACATGAGTTGACGATTCCCTGGTGTCCAGTAAGTTTCTTCACTCGAACACAAGTGCCCGCGTCCCAGATGATTACATTCTTGTCAGTTGAAGCAGAAAAAATCAAGTCACCTTGTGCCGAAAACTGCACATCAAGAATTGCTCCTTTGTGGCCGCCATTCAACAGTG